GAGAAGGAAAATACTCATGGAAATACTGAATGGTGCAGGACCTGCAGTACATCTTGTGCTAAAAGGGGACCCAAGCATAAGGGATGTGCTCCAATTAAGTTATATCAAGTTGGTGCACTAATGGAAAGAGTAGCTATTGACATTGCTGGTCCATTGCCCCGAACTCGTGCTAGAAACAAGTACATTTGTGTGGTGATGGATTATTTCACCAAGTGGCCTGAGACATATGCAATACCAAATACGAATTGCATTCAGGTCAAGGCCATAACTTTGGATCAGCTGTGTTCCATGAATGTTGCAAGTTGTTTGCCATACGACAGACCAGGACAATGCCACTTCATCCACACTCTGATGGGATGGTATAAAAGTACAATTGGACACTTGGACAGGAATTGGCAAAGTTTTGTAATAGCGCCAAGATGACTGGGATGTCTTACTCCTTCCACTGTTGATGGCTTTAAGAACAGCAGAGTATGGAGCCACTGGATACACTAGCAAAATTGATGCTTGGTCGGGAACTTTGGTTGATAGTGCACCTGATAACAGGCCGCCCACCTTATGAAGAGTTGCCTGAAAATGTGTCAGAGTTTGTGAAAGAGTTATTTGATAGGATGGATGATATTCATCATCAAGTGCATTCAAACTTAAAAACGTTTGCTGATTCCATGAAGCTATGTTTTGATAAGAGATCTACTGAAGTCAGTTTTGTACCAGGGGATAAGGTGTGGTTGTATAATCCCAGGAAGACCAAAGGGAAGTCTCCTAAGTTGTCTTCTCCATGGGTAGGCCCATATGACATAGTGGATCGTCTCTCAGACGTGACTTTCCGAATAAAATATGGTCGGCGAGGTAAACCAAAGGTGGTGCATACCAACAGGTTTTGGCGTTATCACGGTCCAGTACATTTCAGTTGGAACTAAGTGAGCAATGAAACAAATGATGCTGCTGAAGATGTGCCACCTGAAAAAGCCACTGTTGAAGAAGAAACTCTACCCGGTTTTGAGAAGGAAAACAGTGAAGCCGTTAATGAAGTTACGACCACTGATGTGACTGCTACCGATAATGGGACATTTCCTGATCGAGCAGATGAACCCCACGTGAAGCAGAAGCCAATGAGACAGAGACAAGTACGGAAGAAGATACGTCCTGTAAAATTAGGAGTCTTTGTTGTATTTTAATTTTGTGTTTGTAAATTCTATACATTTAATCAAGTTATTGTTAATTATGTATTGGTTTAATGTAAGTGGCTATTGTTTGGGATAAACAATACTATGGAAGGGGCAGTGTTACGACAGCGGGAGTCACATAATGCTGGGAGAATGCTCACTGGAATTTCTCGAAGGATGATGAATTTTCCTGGCAACTCTAGTGTGTTTCAGGCGCCCTTTTTTTTTCATATAAAAGTCAGGCAAATAAAGCCATCGAAAAAAAAGATAGCATTGCATAGATAGATATAGAGATAGATAATTGAGTTGAGCCAAAAGTAGGCACCGTAAGTAAAGTGTGTGAATCTCTGTGAATTATAGCGTGTGTTTATAAAAGTAGTGAAGTTAAAGTGACTGTGGAAATTAAGTGTATTGCAAAGTTGTATTTAGAAAGAATAAACTAGTTTTATTTTAGAAAGGACTTGTATTGCTGAAGTTCCTTGGAAAGAATTTATACCAGAAATTAACAAACTAACAGAGACGTAACACTATTTAACATGAAAAATATAGTTTCATGTTACAATTTGAAGTCATTCTGGAAAATAAAAAAAATTTAGGAGGTTTTAGAGATTACACAAATGAAATTTGAGAATATTCAGATGATGAAAAGTATTTTCAATCTTAACATGAGAATCACTTTGCACTTGGAGTAGTCAACACTTTGACTCCATTTATTCACAGAAATTTTTAGTGAAAATACTTCATTGAGAATTCTGATTTTCTTTTTCTGTACAAAAGACTTAATGCTTAATGAATGTTTGAGATTTCATTAAAATACATAAAACATATTAGATGTTATAGTATGGAAACTATAAAAGTCAATTTGGGGTTACGAACTCGGGTGTTTCAGCCAAGGCCTTTGTGAGAGGGATAAAATATTTAGATTGAAGAAATCCCTAAATATTTGTAATATGACAGCCTTGATTTGTTTAGATAGCAAAATACATCTTTTGATTCAATTTTTATAAAGTTCAGATACTGTTAGATTAAGGCATTATCAGGTAACTGGAAAGTAGGTATATTAATAACTACTTTATGTGAGAATCAGCTGAAAATGAAATCATGAGGGAATAAGGTTCCCTTTAAAATGTTTTGGGTGATTACTGTAAGTATAATTCTGAAAGAGTTGCCAGACATCAAGTTTTTAAAGTGTTTAATTTGTGAAGAAAAATTGTGTAGTTTCTTTTATATGCTGAAACTTATTTAAAAAAATATTTCTTTGTATTTTTAGGTTGAAAACTGTTCGTAAATGCCCTTTTCAAGAATATATTGGTTGAAGGATTGAATAAAAAATGTTCCGGGTTGTAGAGAATGACGATGGTTCAACTTTGATTTACAGGCCTAACACAAATGAATTGCTGTGTGTTGTTCAAGAAAATCATCGAGTGCCTATTGTATGTATAAATGGTATTTGTTACACTTGATAATAAATAGAAACATTTTACTTTTTAAAATATTTTTTATGTGTTCTTGAGAGTTGGTTTTATCTTTTATAAATAATAAATAGGTAGGAAGGGTATCAGCCTTTCCAAAACATTTGAGTTTTTAGGTATTTCAAAGTTTTCAGTGTTTTACCCAGTGTGGATGTAAATATTTTACTTGAACTGTAATTAATGAAAAAAAAAGGTGTTCAGTATTTTTTGTTGCATAGTTTTGTTGAAAATTAGAAATGTTAAAATACTGACAAATCTGCAATAAACAGTTGATTAAATAAGAAACAAAAGTTGTATGAAATTTTTCCATTATTTATGGCATTGTTAGAGTATGAGTAATTTTTTTCATTTTGTGCAGTGACTAAGATATTTTTGTTACATTGGTATGCTTGTACATTGTTCAGTTGCACGATCATTCTGTAACTGCAAGGGCAGCTGCATGTGTGTGTTGCTGTTGTAAGCACAATTTTAAAAAATCTAACTAGTAGATCCCTGCACCATTATCTTTAGTAGGTCTGTGTTTTATTTCACTGTTTAGATTTAGAACAACTTGATTTTTCAAGTTTTTTTGTTGCTGCAGATATGTGAAGTACTTCTTTAAGGTCTAATTCCTTGAATTCAGATTCAGTAGAACATGTATACTAAAATTGATTGATTTACGGTGTTTCCAGGCTAGTAAGACAAGAGAAAAGAATTTTTATTATTTAATTTAGCTGTTTGTTAGAGGGAGATTCTAACACGATGGTTATGGTAGTTTAGAAAGTTTTTGTAAAAACAGTCCTAGAGTATCTAAAAATTTATATAGATATATATCAAAATGCACAAACTATGAATATTTAATTTCCATGAAGATACCTCACCTCTTCACAAAGAATAACTTGTTCCCTCTTGCATCTAACTATGAGATTTGCATGCCACTAACTTGAGCTAACTTCTTACCTAAAAAGCATTTCTTTAACCATTCTAATATGGGTGTGTAGATTCCACCCAGCCCATATTCACAAAAGTAACCATAAAACAGTTATGCTGTAACTTTTTAAAATGCACTCGGATCTTCACAAAAGTTTGGAGATTATCAGTAAACATTATGAGGCATCCATGCACAAAGTATCATATTTTGTAATTAGGTTTTAACATTTTTTAAAATTAATTATTTCCTCATGCATTTTTTTTTAATATTGACTATCCAACATACAAAATAATTTTGATTTTAAGATTAAAAATACTTTTATGCATAAAAAAATTGTCAAATTTCATGTGCAAAATCTCCATACTCTTCTGATATCCTATAGATAATTATCAAATGTTTTTTAGACAAACTTTATATTTTATCAGTTACATTCGCTATTGTATCCTTGTGTGGAGTTTAGTCAATTCTACCAACTTCGTAACCACCATAAAAAAAGAAAGAAAAAAGGAAATAGATATAAGTTGTACTTTTTTCATTCTATAACTACTACAAATTATAACACAAAACCACAAATGTTTAGTCTAAATAGCTTAAATCTCATAACTATTTACATATATAAAAGTTAATTTCTAAGTTATTGGCCTTTCAACAACATCTGACTAATGAACAAAAGTTGAATAATGCGGCACTCAAGTGACTATATCCAATAATATAAAACTGGTGTTTACAAAGTGACCTGTTTTGGCTGTGTTCTAGTGGACCAGAATTTTGTAAAATACAGTCACATTTTGGTTATAATACATTATATATACATATACATTATTACCATTTACAAATAAGTTCTAAAATTTCATTTATTTTTCTTAAAATGTAGAACAGTGAATAAAGAAGTATAGAAAACAAGTATCTCTTTTTTGTGCTTGTTTGCTGGTTACCGTAATTTGCTAAACCTTATCAAATTTCACACATGGAGAATGTAGAACAAAATTTTTTTAGGTTTTATATATGCATTTTGATATAACAAAAAATCATACAATACTATATTGATACCACAGAATTCCACTATAATTTATCAGGCTTTGTAGCAAAACTGCATTTGGGTCTAAAAAAATATGATTTTTCGAGCTCAATAATGTCTTACACTACCACTTAGAATCTACCATGAAAAGAAAGTGTTTCCCATGTAAATACTTTGCAAAGGCTCAGAGAACCATGTAGGGGACATTCTGAGCTTTTGATTAGCTATTCACACGTCATAAACAGAAATAGGTGTATGTAAGCATTTTCAAAAATTGAAAGAGGTGGGTGGGGCCACTGTGTTTGATTCACTAAATGTAGCAATATCTCAGCAAATAGAAAAATAGGAGGTTCTTATTTTCTATTCTAGCTTGTCCTTATTGGTAATTTGAGTTCCTACTTTGTAAGAAACTATCGATTTTGTATTTGGACATCATAAACATCTAATCTGAACCTATGCTACATTCAACATACCATGTGACACAAAAAATCAATACTTAGGTGTTTTTTAATATGTACTTTCAAATTAAGAAATTAACTAATGTATAATACTAAAATTTCAATTATAATCTACAATTTGATACCAAACTTATTGATATACGTTCATAAAATAGTTGTTTAATAAAATTCTAAATATAAGTCTACAAACTTGATGACATGGCCTTTGACCCGCAACTATAGGAAGACCCGTCTCTGTAGGGTTAACATGACCTGCACTAGTGTATTATGACATCATCATTGGACAATAGCCCTCTACCAATAGGAGGGTGACATAACCTCCTTGCACAGTAGCTCCCCCTAAGCACTTGTGCTTGAAATAACTTCATTCTTTTCTTAGGCATTGTCTTGAACAGACATTTTAAAATAGTTCATCAGTTATGTGAGATTTGTGGGGTATTACTCCCTAAGAACACCAGGAACTGGCATCTGGTTATTGACCTGACGTCTCTCAACTGGTTTCTAGTCTGCTTTCTGTTTGATACGGAGGGTTTCTCTTCTTTCCATTGGTCCTTTTCACCCAGCTTGTGAATGACCAAGTTGGAATTATCAGATGCTTATTTACACAATTCGATTATCCTGTCATCCAGACATTTTCTTGAAGTTGTCCATTGGAACGGTGTCTTTTGGAACGGCCATTTGTTATATTAACTGTTCCAGGATTCTGCTTCCACACATTGGATGTACTATTTTGAGCTCATTCCCTTCGGCCACTTTTCAAAACTTGTCTCTTGCTGAGCGATATGAACTTGGTGGTGGACTGTCTCTCTTGGGCCATACTGGTCTGAAATATTTACTACAGCTTCACCTAAGAGTAAAAGTGGACTGTCTTTATTTTTGTCATTCGTATTAAAGGTGGCTGATTTAGAGCAGCAAAACTGTAAAACTTTAGGGTGAAAGGATGTGCAGCTACATAAGTATTGTTTAGGCCACACAAGAAAGATTATTAGTTTCTAGCTCAAGTTTTCAAAAGAATCAATCACACAGGTAAATGGTTATTATTTGTTTTTCATTGTCAAATTCTAAGCACAAATTTTCTAAAGTTTATGAAATTTTCTTAATTAAAAAACGATAGCATCATGTGATATAAGCTTAAGCAATTAGCATAAATAATAATACTTGGTACGGCTAACAGAGTGCATGCTTGTGATGACAAGAAGCTGATAACCTAAATTCCATGGCATTACTATAAAGGAAGTTATTAACACTGTTTTAGAGAGGAAAACTATTACCATATATTTTAAAGAATCAGGTTGGTTCTGTAAAGTATAGGTCTGTTCCGAATAATAGAGTTGCGATCCTAAAGTTAATGTTGGTTACTATCGAGTATCAGTTTCTTACTTGCTTTGGTTTGTTTGTGTGTATTGACAAAAAGTCATGATATCTAATCAAAAACACCTTAGGTGTGAAAAAATGGTGCATCCAAAAAAAGATTGAACATGCGACTTAAAGGAATGTTATCAAAATTGACAGTCAAACTGGTAGCTACACTTATAGTATTGATAATAATTTTACAGCAAATATTCATTTATTAGTTAGCTAGGCTTCATATTTTGTTTTAACTACCATCATGCACCAAGTTGAATGAAAAGAGTGGTTACTGTTGTGGTATTTCCTGTAGAAGGGTTTTTCTTCATAGCAGTCAGTTAGGATCACTAACTGGAGGTACCTAAGATATCGAATTATGGAGTGTGACTGAGTATCTTGCCAATCCAATATGTGTCCCCCCTGTACAGTAAACTATAATGCTGTTTAGAACTAAAACTAAATTAGAATAAAATAAAGTAAAAAACAAAGGCAAAAAAAAGCTAAACAACATTGACAAACATTAACATAGTTCTAAAAGTCTGCTTAATTTCTCCAAATCTCCTTAAGTTTTGTAGAAATCTCAACTCAGTTCTGACTTGTTGAGGGAGAACCTGGTTTTAATACTATAAACTACACTAACGATTAAAGACAGGTACCTGAATGTAACTCTTTCCACTTGTTCTAGTGCAGAGGAAACCCCAGGACTAACATCCAATTCACTGATAGATAAAAGTTTTCTATTTCTGAATGTTCTGACCTATGTTTCCTGCAAAAAACTTGGCTAATTGTCAATTATCTGACAAGGTCCCAGACAAAACTAGCAAGAAGCAAAGTTAAAATGTGTTTACCTGAGTGACTGGCCATGTCCAAACTGAGCTGAAAGAAAAATGGGAATTTTGAAAAAATTAACATATTGATTAAGGGAAGAAAACATGTGGTACCACCCTTACCACACTATTTTGACCTGAAGCTTATTGGTGTACTTGAGAATAACACACTAATCTATTCTTATATTGTTCAATACCTGCAACAGGAACAGTTATATAAAGTTAACTCTCTCAGCATGGGCTCAGTCAGTTTGACCGACCACATGACCTTTTAATACTTCTAACTTTCAATATTGTATGTATGTCTTCACAGTTTGGTAGACTTTCAGTTCATATTACAAGTTTTTCACATACAAAAAATTCATATTCTTTAGTGAAGTATTTTTAATAAAATAAATACTTGTCCATTAATATATTGAGTATTTGATTTGAATAGTCTGTGTGAAAAGTAATTTTCATGTTAAAATTAAAAGTACTTTTCCTCATCTCAAAAATCTAAAATTTCCTTTGTGTAATCCCTA